AAGGGACCTGTATTGTGAGATGATGGGCGTGGCAGTGCTGAAATTTCACCCCTAAGGGGGACCAATCAATAACAGGTCATTTTGTTTGGTTTCCCGATTTTATTTGTGTTTTTGCACAATATCGAACACCGTCGGCTCGTATTGAGTTTATGACGACGTTGCGGTTGTTGTTGATCTTATAATGACGGCTTACGGTCGTCGTATACCCTAAAAGGGACCAAAAAACTCAGTTGGTGGGAATTCTCCTCATTATATATCACCCTTAGTGGAACCAAAACACTTATTTCAAACCCTAAAAGGGACGACGAAGAACCCCGCCAGCATTGAACAGCCCATCCCAGACATCATTTTTTTGCCTTTATTCAAAGAGCGAAAAAAGTACACCTTCTCATCCAATCACAATCGTCGCTGAACCAATCTCGTCTGAGCCTGCAGTGGAGCCAACCAGTGGCGTTAAAACAAGTGACGTCATCTATCCCCAGGCCCMCGGTGATTTTRTAATACCTTCTTTGTTASTGTCTCTCCTCTGTTTTTGGCCGCTTGGTGTTGCGGCTATATGGCAAGCCATTAAGGTATGTTTTGGGCTGAGAGTGAGTTGGCTCATTCGGTGGGAAAGCAAATAGAACTGCCATTAGAGAGTGAAGTTATTAAACCCGTGAAACAAAATGAGTGAAGTTATTAAACCCGTGAAACAAAACTAACTATTAAAGTGTGACAATGCAATTAGAGCGTATTAAGGTGTATTAGTGTAATATCTATTTCACGAGTTTTTTGACTCAGTTCACTCTAAACGTACCTGGTCCGTGAAATAAAAACCAACACTTTACCAACAAATAGACTTAAGGTGTGATATGATCGTCCTGGTTTGAGAAGTCTGTTATAGTTACCTGACGTTTCGAAATGACTGCAGCATTAAGCATATAGACAAATTATATATTATCATTTTATTACTTTTTATCCATTATAAAAATAATAATATTTTAATATTTTTCCTTCCATATACAGAGCCGACTGGCTGTCCGGTCTGGAAAGATCGAGAACGCCAATGCGCATGTCAAAATGGCCAAAGCATTTGCTCTATTCTCATTGGCTTTAGGGATTCTTCAAGCCGTTTCCATAGTCACCGTTGTTATGATACAGCTGTATGTTTTTCCAAGATATAGTGCAACKAKTCAGTGATTTGAACTTCAAATGTTGGGMTTCCTGTGTTCAACAGACTCTTCATGGAATTTTTAAATATTTTCTTTCAAATTATTGATATTTCGAGATATTATTTACATATTTGTTTTGAAAGCTAGGGAAAGCGACCTAATTTCCAATACATAAGTTCAATGTTACGTATACTTTGAAGAAATTCGTTCATCTGACACAAATCGTTCAGTGGCATCGCGCACAATGTTGGGCTTCCTGTGTTGTTGAGCATTCTTAACCGTACATTGGAATGACCCACTTAATACGACCACCCCGTTATTCCGACCAGTATTCTAGTWACATCCAAACGCCTAGGCCTTTTCTCCAGAATTCATTTGCTTAAGTATCAAAGTATCCTCTCAAAGCCCTTAGTTGGATCGTTTCCTACATGTCTAAGGTAGCGAGAGGTACCCTACCAGTAACATTGCCATTCAAAGTTCATTTCTTTCTTTTCGTAGCCTTTATTCTCTTGATATCCTCTCTGCTTAACGTCTGCACGCCTTTCTTGTATTTACCAATGGACATATCAAGACCTTTACTGGACTTGTCCGACCACCAACCGCTASTCGTACCTAATGAACTATGATAGAGAAAATAGCGAAATATTAACCTTGAACCATAGTCCTTATTTCGACCCGTACAAAGCCTTGTGACRCAATTCATTTTGGGATTGATAAGTAAGTAAACAAGGGAGCAACGATGTCAGTGCTCCAGTTGTCTGTGAACGCAGCCTAAGTTATCGAAAAATATTGGAAAATATTGACATTGTATTTAATCTCAGAACCATACTACGAAAAAAATATATATATCAACAAGCAATAGAAAATTCAGCAAGAAAAACCTCCAAAAATGTACATTTAACGAGAATTTCCATGTACTAGTCAAATCAAGCAAAAATGAAAACAAACATATTTTGTCTGTGGAAAAATCAAAACTAATTAGTGTTTTTTACGATTTTAGCGATTTGTTTTAATAATGAAGGGAGATTTATATCCAATGACACATTGCAAACCGATTCAAAATGGCGKGCTTGTAATATGGTCTATGTCAGAGTTTGGTTGGGTCCTCAAACTAAGAGCCTAAGCCGGGTTGTTCAAAGCCCGATTAGCCTTAATCCAAGGTTAACTCCATAGGTTAACTCAGGATTAGCACTAATCGGGCTTTGAAAAACCCGGCCCTSGGCTCAAGGTGTCGGGGATCCAGAACCCTGGGAGGGAGGAAATGACCCCAGGGGAAAACRATCTTAAAACATGTCAAATTATGCATGCCAAATAATTTCATTTCGCTCTCAACAACCGGATCAAGATTTTCTACATCTAGCTATTTGATCTGAGCACATGAGGATATGGTAGAATCATAGATTATACACCGAAACAAGGCCGACAGAAATCCTGCTGACATTTTGGACGTCGGTCCTTCGTCGGTCCTTCGTCGGACCTCCGTCGGAGAAACGAAACCACGGAACTGGTAATCACCTAATCTGTTATACGTCCATTAACAGGAGAGATGGTTATCCGTTCCGTCGTTTTTTCCCGTCTGTTTCATGCGCGCACTTGTGGTTATTTTGAAAATGCTTGTTTAAACATCTCACAACTGTAACATGTRAAAAAATTCTAACCTTTTGTTGTCTTTTTTCTTGTTTTTGTTCTTTTTGGTGCTCATACCCATAGCAAATTCCTATTTCAAACAATGACAACGAGAATCAAACGACAATGAAGATACATGTAGCAAAACTACAATGACGTTACATGTACGCACGACCTATGCACGGACGTAAGTACGCAACGTACGCTGTGTTTCCGCGAGATACGCATAAAGCTTGCGTAAAAATTAGCCTCCTTCACAGGGAACCCTTTTATTTCGTTTTTTTCAATTACCCCTTACTTTGGTTCCCTGTTTTACTATAAAAACCAGAACGTGGGGGAGGGTAAAGAGAAAAGTTCCGTATGGAGCCAAGATTGGGTGCTACGCTTCAATGGAGTTTATGGAAGTGAATGGTAGGGAATGAGTTTCGGCTGAAAAATGACTAGTGCCGACACAGGAGGCTAGGCTGACCATTACCTGATGAAAACGAATATTGATAACAATAAATAAATTGGTTATAAATGATAATTTCTTAATAATGATTACCAGTTGTTGTCTTGCCTCTTCTTTTCGTTTCTGCACTCTCATGTGCGCCATGTAAATC